GATGCACTCACACAGAATCCTGATGTTTTTCGTCCAGCGTTTTGCTACTATCCCGAAAAGCTTACAGCTGAAAGCACTGAAAACCTGTTCCAGGTGTTCCAAAGTCCAGTTGGATCAAACAAAGCAGTAACAGAAAGCTTGGTCCTATCACGATGGTATGATTATCTACAGGATATTGAAGAAGGTGAAGATTCCCTTACCTTCAATGACATTTTGTTCTTTTCAACAGCATGTAAAGTCCTTCCCGCTCGGAAGATTTACCCCACCATTCAATTTCTACATCATCCTGAAGCATGTGGTGAAAAGTCGAGGTTCCCCAAGGCAAACACATGCTCAAATATATTATATCTTCCTGTAGTGCACACTACATATGAAGCCTTTGTAGCTGACATGACCTTTGGTATTCAAAATGGACGAGGCTTTGGTAATGCATGATTAAACTGTGATTCTCCATACTTGGTGACTTGCAATAAATTTCCTGTAACATACACTGAAGTCCGTAATGTATTTGCCGGGTTTATTTACATAATTGTTGCGTTGTATGAGTGCATGTATTCATATTTTAATGTTGTATAGCATCAGATCTATATTTTATTGTAATTAATGGACAGCTTGCATGTTAGACTAAATTTTAATGTAAGTAAAGATAAGGGAATAAAACGCAACAGTTAAAAAGGAAATAATGAAATTAGTAAAATTGCAAAATTTGGTTGCGAAATGTTGTAAAATGCAGAAAATATAGCCTTGCGAAGTTTGCATATTTTCAGTATATTTGTATTACGTGCGGAAATTGTTACCATTTTCGGCTCAAAAATGATAACAATTTCCGCACGTAATACAAATATACTGAAAATATGCAAACTTCGCAAGGCTATAGTTTCTAAATTTTACAACATTTCGCAACCAAATTTTGCAATTTTACTGATTTTAATAAGTTCTTTACGGGAATTTACTTTTTTGGCCTAAATCAAAAATTAGTCTAACATGCAAGTTGTCTATTGGTATATTTGACAGCCTTTGCTACTGTAGAATGGACTGGTAAACTTTAGTCAGAGTAGTATCGTTTATCTAAGCAAGTATTGATATTTATTTTAAACAACAAGATATGTATATGATTATGTATCAATGTTTGTTAACTATTAAAAAGTTATTAATGTAGTAACAATTTGTAAAGTATATACATGACTGGCCATGATTTACGTTTTACAGTGCTCATAGTCTACCAGCGAGGTGTGTTCGGGGTAGGGATCTTCATTTAACAAGTATATAACATCAAGTTAACAAATTACTCGTCACTATTGTACCGTTTGAAATTAAACTGTTTTAAACATCATAATTATATATGCAGTAGCAAACTGTGACAATTCTTGACAAACAAAGAATAATGTATAGCTTACAAATGTACAGGTATACTGACCGCAATTTTTATAAGAACCAGTGGCATTAAGTTTGTCGAGGCTTTCAGACTCAAAACATTCCAAGTAAGTTATTTTTCTCAAATAATCAGCCTCAGTTTCTATTTTGTTCCAATTTTTTTTTGCAATTTAAATCTCAATGTTATTATTTTTATATTTAAAATTAAAATTGGTTCTTATAAAAAAGGTGTACCTTGAATCTATAATATTTGTCCAATCTCTTCTACAATGGTTGAATATAAAATAACAGCATCTTCTGAATTGGTAGGCATTTCTAGATGCTTCTCTAGCATTATAATTGACGCTAATTCAACAAACTCTTCTGAGCAACCATGTTCTGGTGTTTGGACACAACACCTCTGTTGGGCAATCTCTATATCTTCGTCAGAAACTGGCGTAATTAGATCCCTTGCATCATCTGTTCTTGAAGAGAGGAAATATATGACATCAGGTTGACCACTTGGAGATTCTGCATTTACCGACTTTCTAATTCTATGCAGGTTCCATTCCATAGCAAACCTGTGCAGCTCGTCACGTATCATGCTCGTGAAGCAAAACTTCAGACACTCAACTTGTATGTCATCCGTATCACAGAACAGGCCACTATCCCTAAGGTCTTTAAAGAAGTTTATCCACCAATCCACACAACCTCTCCTAAGCATACCCCAAAAAGCCTCAATACGTTGATTGTAACAGGACTTTCCATAAAGAAAACTTTGCTCATCGTTATTGAAGAAACGTTGCAGGGCTGCTACATGAACATTTTCTGTCCCACAGTCCCCTCTAATTATTCTGGCAGTTCCTCCGATCTGTTGAACACATTCAATATAATACTGACCTATTACGCTGGGGTTGTTGTTGGAAGGACCCACATCAAGCCACATTACACGCCTGCTGTATCCATCAATCGAACCATGGATGCAGAAACCGAAGGGTTTCAGCTTATCATAGCCGTCTATATGCCACACATGATTTGGACCCTCCGTTTTATATTGTCTCCTTTGTAATCGATGTCTTGACCTGGCATCAACTCCTTCAGGGTCCAAAATCTTCAAGAGTTCTCTCACAGTTTCTTTGTCAACAACCACACCATGACCGTGTAGTAATCGTCTAGTCATTTGTCGATAACCCATCATGCTTCCGCTACCACGCAATTCTCTTCTGATTGCTCGGTAAACTTCTTCAATGTTGGAACGATTTCTTCGTTTTCCAAGACCACGTTGTTGTAGGATTCGCTTCAGCTGACGAATGCTCAAAACGTACCCGTGCAATAAACCTAAAAACAGTACAATTTCGCTGTAACCAAGGCCCATGTGAAAGTATCGTTCGATTACATCAACACGCTCAAAATTATTATTTTCCAGAATAGGCAAATAAGGAGGTAAAACAGCTTCGCATCTCAGATATAATGGCAAAAATAAGAACAGCACAAGATACATTTTTATAGTCGACTGTATATATCGCTTGGATATTCGGTTTTTAAAATACTTGAGCAACAGTCTAGCAAAAATATGGTGGAAAAGTCGAGAAAAAAAGTCGAGAAAAAAGTCGTGCAAAAAGTCGTGCAAAAAGTCGTGCAAAAAGTCGTGCAAAAAGTCGTGCAAAAAGTCGAGAAAAAAGTCGAGAAAAAAGTCGAGAAAAAAGTCGAGAAAAAAGTCGAGAAAAAAGTCGTGCAAAAACTCAACACGATCCTATAAGTCAGCAACGTTCGAAAGTTAATCGCGATTCAAACAAATTATTAAGCGCGATTCAAAAAGTTGAAAGCAATATTCGTATGGCCCTTCCGGGCTTCCGTAGAATCAACTGACAAAAGCCAAATACAACTCACAGTTTTTGCTATTGCCCTCGACTCTTCGCATAAAGAAGCCAAAAATCTTTAAAGAAATATCCGTAGGTGAATTTAAGTGAATGAGAAACTTAGCACAATGTGAAAATGAAAAGTTTGATATAGATTTGCAGCAACGAATGGACGAGCAAACTCCAAATAAAAACAACAACAAACTTTATTGCAAAAGCTTAGTGGAATTCACAAGTTACATAAAGCTTCAAAAGTTTACAAAGACCTAGCAACAGCTGACGTAGAGGTAGGAAATTTCAAGAAAATCTGGCCGTTTTTCCGGTTAAATTAAAGGTTATCCTACGGATAGTTAAACGCGTAACTAAACGGGCTTCGTGCAACGCAATTTTATCGGCCGTTTAACTATCCACTGGATAAGAAATTTATACGCTGGATAGCGGCTAAACACCGTTTAAGTTAAACGCCTTTAATACAACCGGCCCCTGAATAATTGTTAATCATGCTATATATGGTATTACAGGAAATATATTGTATTCATTGTTTTAATCATATCATTGGTTAACTGAACTAAAATCACAACTAATTACATTATTGTTGTATGAAGTATTATGAGCATAACTTAACAAAAGTGAATGAATATAAATATATATTTATATTAAATTGCATAGATGTGATGTTTTAAATTGAATGAAATTCAGGAGAATGAATATTGCTGCAAATGGGCAGGCATGCAATGGACAGTACACATGCGATATTTTTAAATAAAACCCTGTCTAGACGGCCTGGCGTCAAGGATAATGATTGGATAATATTTTTAGAATATGATGCATTAAGCATTTGCATTCTTTATCCCAACCAGGAATCGCTAATAAATTCAGCAGAGGTTTTTCCTTTCTCTTCGCGCGTTTTCTCGCACTTCGCGTTCGCCAAACCAAAAAAACCTCTGGGCCAGGGTACCAAGGGGGCTCATTATTGATCAAAATCTTCTTTTTAGTGGGGAGTAAAAAGTTAAGACCAAAGTTAATAACATGCTCCAACATTTTCGTTTTATCATCACACGAATCTACACTTTCTATACCCAATATTTGACATTAACTTCTTCTATATATATTTACCAAAAGCTATAATTGTTTTGATGGTCGCAAATCCCTTGACATTACAACCGCTTTTGTTCAAGAATTTTTAGGTCTTTTTAGTGGTTGAACTTCTACGGTGACTTGATCGGATAGTCCAAAAGGAAGGCGTTTAATTGGAGAATCATAAAATTTTTCCATATTAGATAAAATCAGATCCAGGATGTTATTACCACGAGTAGGGAAATTTACAATCTGACGCAATTTAAAACTGTTTTTTAACAGACGAACGTTCAATTTATTAAAATCACCAGATAAGATTATCCCAATGTTTGGAAATTCTGTTTCGAGTGCTACTAATGATTCAAAAAGGTAGTTGATCATAGACTGATCATTTGCCCCTGGTGGATGGTACAGATTGCATAAAATTATATTAGACACGCCTCTTGGTAAACGAGTCGGTCTTAAATCCAGCCATAACGCTTCGAATTCATGCATTACTTGAGAAGTCATGCAGGATGTTGAAGTTAATCGCGTTACGGATATATAGACGTAGACACCGCCGTGAATGCGTTCACGTCTATCACGTCGAAATAAATTATACCGGGGTAATGAAACAATGTTATCGTCAATATGATTTTGCAACCACGTTTCCACAATGCCTAAAATATAATTGCATTGGCAATATACGCATGTAATTCTTCAATTTTCGGGGCCAACGACATGATGTTAGACAACATTATTAATGTTGTCTAACATCATTTATAGATGGTACAAATACATTTTGTGATTCACAACGTTTAAGTGGCGCGCTCGGAATAATGATGCAATCATGCAGTAACTTTTATTAAGACCTGACGGTCTGCTTCCAAGCCGTAAGTTATTATGATCGGAACGGTTAGAAAACGGTCTCATTAATACAGGTGTTGTTCGGGCTAACTCATGCGATTTGGTAGTAGTTTTAATATTATGGTCACTAATTATGACGGGTGCGTTATTTTCCATACTAAGTCTAGATGACTGAGCCAATCCTCTCGACGAGGGACGTGTGACCAAATCCGAGAAAACATTGATGGGTCCTTGGTATGGGTGGGTCTGGGGTACTTCAGCTGTCGGAATGTACGAGGGGATGGCAATCGTTTCCGAAAAACCTGATTATAGTTATGGTTGAATTCCTTTCTGGATTTTCCTCGTAATTTACGTTTTTGTTGCCGCGAAGAAACACGATTTGTTATTCTAGTCGGGATAGGTAGTTGAAGACTATTTGCACCCAAAGCATGGTCGTAACTTTGCTGATTAGTATCACGGTCTGTAGACTGAAGAATCAAATCTCCATCGTTTAAATTACTGCAATCGGTGTTTGAAACTTGTTGTTGACAAAAGACAAGTGGTTGGAAGCATTGTACTAGTTGGCTCTACGAGCTGAGGAGCATCATGGCAAGGCATCAAGCATTATATATATATATATATATATATATATATATATATATATATATATATATATATATATATATATATATATATATATATATATATATATATATATATATATATATATATATATACATACATACATATATACATACAGCTAATTCAATAAAGGTTGTCCTTTGGAAACCTAAAACTCTAAAACCTTAAACCTTAAACTCTAAGCGCGCAAAGCGTAATGGGAGCACTATTTAAGCAGTTTAGAAAACATACATGGATCCCATTTCTTAGAGACATGGTAAATATGTGCCTGCGAAAACATTTCACTCACAAACAGCTGCAATATTCAACTACAAAGCTTGAAATCAGTACTCCCATTATGCTTTGCGCGCTTAGAGTTTAAGGTTTAAGGTTTAGAGTTTAAGGCTTGCAAAGGACGACCTTTTTTGAATTAGCTGTATATATATATATATATATATATATATATATATATATATATATATATATATATATATATATATATATATATATATATATATATATATATATTGTATATACATGCAGACAAATAATGCTGAATTCTGATTGGTTGAGAGGAGTATAATTATATGGTAAATCAGGAGTGCAGTTTGGGAACTAATTTGAACAAAAAACATTCAAAATTGCGGCTCAACAGCAGCGATCTTGTCCTGCGGCACACGAGAGAAATTAGAGACCTTACGATTTAGGACGGCAACGCGGCTACCGATACAACAAATCATTGGAAAAATTGAATAATTACAATATATGAATAATTGAGACATTGTCCTCGCTTTGTTTACAACGCCAAATCACAGATTTTCATATCTTGATACAACGGCTGCATTCAAGCCGCAACAAGTGCAACTTCAAACTGGGTTCAGCAGAACTCTTCCCAAACATAAAACCCATGTCTTCAACTTCTAAAACTGTATTAAATTCATACGATTGATAATATAGAACAAATTATCTATACTACCATTTATTTGAAGGAGTTTGTTTTGGCCGTCTTCGTCAAGTTGTCGTACTAAAATCGTAAGGTCTCTACTGATTTGTTGAGCTAAACGCCTCGCGTGGTGGCTAGCTCAGCTGTGTATTTTCACTGCACACGTTGGGAAAACTATACGCAACAACAACATAATTGACAAAATCGTTTGCATTTCCATTCATGCATATTGTTCAAAGTCACATGAAGAAACTATGGTTTCTCATTGGCTAATTGATTCAAACAGCTCTGCAGCACTAAGCTGCGTGCGCAGACGTTGAGATTTTTTCCTCACGAGGGGAACAATATCAAACACGATAGATATTTTCCTCAAGGCCTCGAGAGGTCAAATCACCTCACGACAACTATCCGCACACGAGAGAAACTTGCTGAGCTAGCTGCCACGCGAGGCGGTTAGCTCAGCACGTTTCTCTTGTGTGCGGCAGGCCGGCTTTAGCTTTATCTAATAAAATCCAGAATGCTTTCAAGTACGAGAACATGCAGTACAGTGCGTTTTGAAAGGCATGGGTGGGTAAAATTCATAATTTTGTCGTGCAAGTAATAAACAAATAAACATGTCATGTTGCCTCATTAGACGTACATTCTAAAAACATTGCTGTGCCCGTGCCAAGTGTGGCGCCGCTTTATATTCTGCCAGTGAGTTTGTTTGTTTGTTCGGAATCACATGTTTCCTTTACCGCCTATAGGAAGGTACACAGTGCGTACATGTGGCTAGCCTTTGGAATAAAAATAGATACGCTAAGCGTGCGTGCATTTGCGTACGGCGTTGTCTTTTAAATTGACTAATATGATTTGAGGACGTTTGTCAATCTATTCAATCAGATACTGTGTTCCAACGTGCTGGTGAGTCAAGTGTTAAGATAAAGAATGCTCATGATTCAAATAGTCCGCATATTATGAAATGAGCAATTAGCCTTTCTCACGAAGGCCTAAATCCGCCATTTTTGGGTACTATTTTGTAAACGTGAAAAATCTAATCGAGTGAAAATCTTTCAAATATTTAACTGTAAATCGATTTATAATGACTATACTTACAACTATAGTTATAGAAAGTTTCATTTTCACTGCTCACTTGCTTGCCACCGACAAATGGCGGCGTGAGGAAGGCTAATTGAG